GGCTGCCTCAGGTGGCTGCCACACATTCATTCTTTTTCTTACGTAAGAGGGGTGTCCGGCAGGGATGGCGAGGACCTGAATGATTGCAGTTAATCTTGAAAGTTGCCTAGGGCTCTTTAGTGTCACACATTAAAGAAAGGAACTTTGGTTGTAGAAAATAATGTGCCTTACCCTTCTGGTACCCAGAGATCAAGCAAGTTGTGAGTTACTTAAGGATGCCTGCCTGAAATATGCTTAACCCCAATTTAATAGCTGCCTTAGGCTTTCTTGAGACTGGGAAAATATTAATTATGACTTTGAATTCGTCTTTTCTAATGCTGTACTTGTTGGGCAGTTCTCATCTGGGAGGAGACTACTCAGGTCCAAGGCTCTGTGGCAGGCGAGCAGGAGTGAAGCACTCATGGCATGGAAGGCACCAGCATCCATTTCCGTAGCCTCTGGGCTGGCTTGGCTGACTCGTGCTCCCTGTGCTACAGTGGCTCAAAGGTCAACTGCAGCTTTCACGTAACACAGAAAACCAGATGCTGTTTAAAGTGCAAGGACAGCCAGCCAGCTTCACCACCAAGAACAAGCAATGTTGTTCACCACTAAGACAAGCAATGGACTGGATTGTTTAAAACTGCAGGTGTTTGTCATTGGAATCGTCCAGCTGCATTGTAGGATGGAGGTCTTCATGCAGGACTCGCGTCTCACTTAGGCAGGTCACAGAAGGGGCCTGGATTATGACTAGGATTTTCAAGGCAGTCTGTGGGAGCTGAGCAGCCTACTCCTGTTGGCTTTAAGAGAAATCATAGAATCATAGAGTGAATCATAGAAATTTGGGAACACAGTTCCAACTGAGTAAATCAACTCACACTGCTGTTACTCCAGAGTTACCATGAGCAGACCAAGAGCAGGGTGTAGGTCTTGAAAGAGGGAGGCAAAAGGTGGGATAGATGAAATGAACTGCAGGAACAGGCATGCTCCGTCAGTGACACAGCCTCCTGACCACCCTGGGCTCATCTGAGATCCCGAAGATCTGCCATTTCTTCTGACGGCTTACAAACATGCTGGAAGCTCCCACACTACATGAGCAGTGTCTTGATAAATATGGCTGGAATCTTACATAGTTTTGCTGAGCTCATAGTGACATTCCCTCTAGCAGTGCTCTTACAAAGAATCAGATGCCCGTGTCCTTGTAGGACTAAGCTGACGCAGGCGGTTGTCTCTGCTGGATACCAATAAATGTTGTATTGATCTTATAATCCTCATGTGGAACGTAGAAGGTGCTTAACAGCTGCAGCCTCCTGTGTGCTTGCTCTGTGGTGTGCCGTCAGAGTGAAGGTCAGACTGGTAAACTCCCCCGTTCCAAATCTTGCAGTGCAATTCCTTACAACCACCCAAAGCACCAATATATGTGAGTGTTTAAAGCTAAGTGGAATGAAGCATATATGTATAGTCGTTTTTCATGTCTCTTTAAATACTGATGACTTTTATTACAGTAAAAAGGCTTAAGTTTGACTTACAGTGAAGTTATGCAAATGCGTTTTTAGGGTGGCAGCTGTAATTTGAATAAGGTTTTACTACCTGCCAAGCACTGGGATCAATTACTGTAAATCAGTGCTGCCTATTCATTCACAAACAAGAATAGGCATTGCTGCAGTATTTCATTAGATGAGACAGTTTTCATTCCTAGAAAACTAACTTTTCCAGGACCTTTATGATAACCTGCAGAGTTTAAATAATTCCTGATTAATAATTTGCTTTATTCTTGAGACAGTCAGTGAGACATTTCACCTGTTCAGTGCATTACACTCAAATATCTCTAGTACTTTCCCATCTTTGAAAGGTCCCACTGTTCAGACACAGTTGCTAAAGCACAGAACAGTAAAGGGAAATACCCCAAATCCCACCACTCATGTTGAGTATCAGAAAAAGGTCTTCTATCTGCTCTTCCTGTGCCCTAGTACCTAGACAGCATTTCAGACTCAAAAGAGCTGAGTAGAGGTAGCTGGCAGCAGAATGTGAAGTACTGTTAACTCTTCTCAGGCTGCATCAAAGCTTCAGCTCTTTGTATTATTAATTCTGATTATATCTTTGTTGCCCTTTAAAAATAAATAATGGTAAGAAGTGCTGGTCAGTTTGCCCTTCTGTGTTCATCTGTGCAAATACCTGCAAGAACCTGTCATCCCTGCTCAAGGTTTACATTATTCCTTCACACAGACAGCGGTTTCCCTCCACTTGCTGATTTGCTTCAGGAAAACCAAGTACAGGCAGTCATTTTTTTGTTTGTAGGCTGTGCCCTGTAACTTTTTCTTTCCTTCCTCCAAGTCCGTTGTCTGCTTGCTATCTGAGCACAGCAGTGCTTTCCTCTCCCATCCTTGCCTTGCTTCTAGCCCTGCCTGTGATGAGGAACGGGTCCCTACAGCAGGCTTTGTTCTTTCTACATGTGCCAGCAAAATTGCTGTGGGCACACAGTCCTCACTGCTCTGTGCTGTTGGCTCTCCTGTTACCTTCCTGCTTTATTAAATTCTTTCTCATCTCCCCTGTACAACCACCCTTCTAGGGTCTAGGGGTTGAAACCTGTCTGGATCTGCTTGTCACCTGGCAACATCAACATGTGAGGATGGTGTTTTAAAGTGCCAGAGATCAGCTCTCCACCACCAGCACCTTTTGATGGGCTAAAAGGGACTCCCTGTACTCGTCTGGTGGTGGCACCTGCCTGTCCTGACCCCCTTGGATGCTGCTGCTGCTTCGGTTTTACCTGAGGGACGCACCCCCAAGACACTCCGGCCATGCGGTGTCAGAGCAGGATGCCACGGTCTGGGAACTGGGCTCTGTGGGAGAGGGGACCCCCATCACTCACCTGTGTGCCAAGGGTCATGCAAAAGCTCTCCCCATCCATCCGTCTCTGGTTAGGCAAGTGGCAGTGTTACCTGAATGCTGTGGGTCTGTGATGGGCTCTTGGCAGGCCCCACGACGACGCTGTGTTGGGTTGGGGTGCTCAGACATCCTGTTTCACCTGGCAGCAGGTCACAAGTGTCTGGACAGGCATCTTCTCTTTGAACACGAGGTCAGAGGGTGAGTGACCTTGTAATTAATCATAAGCAAATCTGAGCTGTTCTGTTTTGACGGGGTTTTGTGCAACTCCTAATATTACCTGGAAAAATGTTAAGAGTAAGCCTACCACTTAGCACCCTTCACTTTTCTCTCTTTGCCAACTTTCTTGTGTGAGGAGGCTGATAAACTAGATCTAATGAGCTACTTAAATAGCAAGAATGCTAATGACCTTCCTTTAGCAAGTAGTTAGCAGAACACTGTTAATTATCACTCGTGCAGAGTATCAGGGAAGGCAGATCAGCATGTGATTAGGGGCAGCTCAAGGAAAATTGTAGTAAACGCAGGAGTTAAGATACTTCTTTAATGAAAGTTATAATTGGAGGTGTAGATTTCACAGCCGCCTTGTCCCAGTTTGAGACAGCCTTTTTGTTGATTTGGTTTCAAAGGTGTTTACCCATCCAAGTAAATAGATATGTATAGAAACTAATTCTGTATGTAAAGACTTGCCTGCCTGAGGCAT